TGGTTTGAACCCAGCATAAGATCAGCAGACAAGTGCAGCCCTAACCACTCTACAATCGCACTTGGGGGAGGGGGAGGGGTGTGTTCGTGTATTTGTTAATGTGTCTGTGTGTGTATATGCTTGTGTGTCTGTGTGTGCATGATTGCATGTGTTATGCGCATTAGTGCATGTAGGTAGAAGCTTTGCTTGGGAACAAAATAAAAAATCGTCACTTCTAACCAGCAACTCCAAAGGGGAGCTTTAGGTTATAATTATGACTAGGTTATATGCGCCATATAAAATAACTTAGCATCGCACGCCACCAAGAGCCATGAAAAGGTCTCCTCCTGTGTTGATGCGATCAAAGAACACAGACCCAAATACTGTTCCGACCTAGTCGTCTATCACCGAGCCAATGGGCGATGTGTGTATATAAATGTGTGGGCGTGCTTATGAGTGCGATAAACTAAAACAGCCCTGCTTTCTGACCCTTCAGGTGCTGCACGTGTGGCGGGTACGTCACACTGAAGAACTACTGGACCAACCAGACCAGCGTGGACGACAAGGAGATCTATTGCCAAACCCACGCCCCCAGAGTCGGAGGCTCCAGACTTGACAACAGCGCCATGGGCATTCAGAGAGCGCTATCTGCACAAGACAACTTCAGGTTAGAGAGGTCACTGTTTGATTCTCATTCTTGTTGGTCATAATTAGTTTTAGTCGTGGGTTCCAGTGTCACTACACACGGGTTGTCCCATAGCTGCACCATCCATGTGCTAGTAGAAGTCACACACAATTTCCTTCACTGTCCAATGTGAAAACTAAAGACAAACTTGTCAGTCCCAGTAGCGTCTCTCAGCTTGTACACGCAAAATAAAAACGCAAAAGGCAGATGTCAGATGTGGCTAAGAACTAACGGTTCCATGCCAGAAAAGAATACTCTTTTTCAACACTAGTGTAGCAGTAAAGTTTCCACTCTACACTAGTGTAGCAGTAAAGGACCCACTCTACATTAGTGTAGCAGCAAAGGGTCCACTCTACATAAGTGTTGCAGTAAAGGACCCACTCTACACTAGTGTTGCAAAAAAGGGTCCACTCTACACTAGTTTAGGGCCCACTCTACATAAGTGTTGCAGTAAAGGACCCACTCTACACTAGTGTTGCAAAAAAGGTCCACTCTACACTAGTTTAGGGCCCACTCTATATAAATGGTGTATCGGGAAAATGACTGTGCTTATAAAGTGTAACTCTTTTAATGACTGTAGACTGTTTAATGCGTCATGTAACTGTTAGTTTAGAATATCACTGCTATATATCGGTGTTTTAGTAACTGATCTTGGCTATAGTGATGTTAAAAGGTAAAAGTCCCTTTTCCACCCCTGTAAGCGTATTGGGATTGTAGGGCTAGACCTATATTTTTATAGATAAATCAGCACTGGGTGGGTGATGTGGTCAGCATCACACCGGCCGCCTTTACTTCCCAGGACTGCACCTGGTACCCACCTGCTCTTCGTGTGGGTTCTGGGGTTCCATTTGGAGAACAAAGAATAGACCCACTGCCCCCCTAACAAGCATGTCGTAGGAGGCGAATAATAAGAAGGGTTTTCTTCAAAGTCGGAGTGCATTTGAGAGGCAAAGGATTCAATAGCCGGCATACAAATAAGCCAGATCATATGGTTTGCATTTCCTCTGTTAACTCTCTCTTTCTCTCTCTCTCTCTCTCTCTCTCTCTCTCTCTCTCTCTCTCTCTTTCTCTCTTCGCGTGTGCGTCTTTCTGACAATAGCACTACTGACAGTATAGCTCTCTCTCTCTCTCTCTCTCTCTCTCTCTCTCTCTCTCTCTCTCTCTCTCTCTCTAGTTGTATCCCACCAGGACATCACACAAGCGATAAACACCCATTGACACAAAGTGCCACCATGCGGATCAGGATCACCCGTGGAGAGGTCCCTTTAGGTCTAATGGCCCGGCTATATTCAGGGCTCCCGGCAAAAGCCAGGGTAGGGCTTCAAATAACGACAAATCGCATCGCTCATGGGAACGACTTTAGTATAACTAACTGTATTGCTTGTAGGAAGATATGATTGTCTCCAAATTAGTGGGATATTTTCTAGACACAGCAACTTGAAATATTGGTGGGAGCGGTTTGATATATACAGTGAGGTGGTGAAGATGAGGGTGATGATGATAAAGACGACGACGATGACAAGATCGAGGAGCCGACAGTGTCGTAGAATAAAGCTGAGTGTTGATATCTACAGGAAAGCAAACAGCAAGATGACAGAACTCCGCTTCCAAAAGGAACAGCCAGGACCAACCATCGATCATGAATGTCTGGGCATCAAAGCGGCCATGACCCAGAGTCGGCAGCAGCACCAGACTCGACCCAGCAGCGACCAGACGTCGGGACACAAGTTCACTATAGATGAGAACTCTTTCCACATCCGGGGCGCTCTGGACGCCCAGTTGTTGCAGCGGAAGAATGAGAGGAAGCTGGAGAAACACCACTTCCCGCCACACATCGTAAGTATCAGATTGTGTAAACCTCTAATGAAAGTGATTTGTTGTATGAGATGTTCTGTGGCTTCAGAAAATCAACCAGTCTCAGAGATAGGGACTTCAGCATGCCTCAGAAAGTACAGTAGTACCCCGGCTCAAAAACACCTCTAGTCACGAACAAATTGACACACGAACACAAATTCCGATCAAATTTTAACTCGGCCCGCGAAAAATATCTCTATCTGTGAAAGAGTAAAAATGGTTTTGATGCAATGTTTTAGGCTAACGAACAGTTGTACTCCGCGGTAAATATTGTTTGTCTTTGCGTTGTTTTTGTTACATTTATTCTTGTTTTGTTTTGCTTTTTGCATTAAATTAATCCTCATTAAGGCTCCAACGAATGTAAAAATTTTTACTGGCAGTGTTATAAAAAAGCCTAAGCTAAATACAGTAGAAACGAACAAGAAAATAATAATTTAGCTTGAGAATGGTGTTCGTTGTTTCAGATCTGGCCAGTCAGTCAGGATAGCTAAATCCACTATCTTAAAGAAAAATGTTAAGCTAAAACGTCTAATCTCGCCAACGTAGTGACTGTGTTGACGAAGCAAACGGTCACAAGTGTTCGCAGAAGTAGAAAAAAAAATTATTGTTAGCTAGCGGGCCAGTAATGGAACTACTTTCCAGGATATCAACAAGAGAGAAACATATCAAGACCGTTTCCATCTGATGCAGACGATTTTGAACAAATGCAAGAGATACCTATATATACTTTTACACACTAGAAAACATTTAGTTACAGTGCCGGGAATCGAACCTGTAACCCCTAAATGGCATGTGCGCCTCGCTATAGAAACAATCATACCAAGAACGTAGCCAAGTAGGCACACCCTTGACCTTTAACCCCTGAGGCTCTAAAAGGGATGTTTTGGACGGTCAATAATTTGGGACCGGTGTGCGGAAGAGTGCCCACACCTTATTTATGTGTCTATTTGTGGAATAGAACTCTCCTTCGAAAAAGTAATCTTCCTCCTCCTCCTCTGCCATCGACAACTATCAACCACAAAGGTAAAGTATAATGTATATTTGTATTACATAGTTTGCCACATATAAATCCAATTTGGAAAAAAATATTTTTAAAAAGTTTCTTGAGCAGGCGAACGGATTAATTGGATTGGTATTGCTTTTAGTAGGAAACATTGTTCCGTCTCTCGAGCAATTCGGTTCGCGAACGGAGTCACAGAACGAATTAAGTTCCTGACCGAGGCACCATCGCATATCAATAAAAATCCCTGAAAGTTATTCCCACAATAGAAAGGAATCTATGACCTGTTTGTACCAGCCAAGAGAGAAGAAGTTTAACCGAGGATCGCCTGGTCCTGGTAAAGAGAACCATTGAAGACTTGCAGCCATGAGCGTTGTTGACTCAAAGAGCTGATTACCAACTTTGTAAATGTCCATATTGATTCAGTAGTTGAGGACTGGTTGAGTCATGTGTTTGCTCGCCCATGTTAGCGTTTGTTCTGTGGGAGGGTTCTATGTTCCTTGTGTCTGGCTTTGTGGCGATGCAGATCAAGGAAGCCGCTGGAGCATGCGTGTAGATATAGATGTAAATGATCAGGGTATAATAGACATCGTCGTTGTACAGTGTAGGTATACAATTGGTACTTTTATTTTTAATTCACCCCAAACAAAGGAAATCCCAGAGTTCCCATGAAGTCCAATATTCTTCGGGTCTTTTGCGTTGGGGTTAGGGTTAGACTGTGTCTTTGGGGCGATCTGGGCTGACAAAGATCCTAACCCTAACCCCCCATCCCCAGAATTTTTGACTTTCCCGTAAACCCCGGAATTTCTTTTGGCTGGGGTGAATTAACAATAAAGTACCCATGATTTCATCAGTAGGTCCTGCAGGACTGCTGCCTGACAGTTTAACGGCCCCTGTTGTAGTGCCTACAGCTTTCATTTTTTTTTTTTTTTTTTGTTTGTTATTACATCGTGGATTTGCTTACCTTTACAACTCTCCTTTCCTTGGATGTCTGTGCCAACTAGTTCCTGTAAATGTAAAGTACTTCTCATACTATTTCAATGGCTCGACCGCAGTTCATATCTCAGATGTATACATGTATTTCCCCAGGCTGTATTCCAGTGGCCATATTGCGAAACCTCTCTCTTATATGGCGAAATAACCCAAGCCAATTCAAAAGCCCCAATGAATAGGGCGAAGCGTAAAGCAAATTGACAAATTATAGTAACATGCAAAGGTGCTGATTGTCTGCCCCTGCAGGAATGTTTGTTTAACATGGTAACCGAGTAACGCGCCCCTGAACACACTTTCTTCCGGTCTTTTTTTTTTTTTTCATTTGCTTATTGAGAATGGGAAGACATTTGTTGAACGTAAGCCCAAGTACAACAGTCAAGTAAAATACCCTTCTTTTGGTATCAGCGCCCGCCACACAGGCCACATGGTTCTAACCCTAATTTTTGTTATAGACAAATCGACGTATGATGAGTGTTGTCGATAACATCATCTGAAAGTCTAGTTGCTGAATAAATCATGCTAGTATTCGCCATTCCATGTATGGACCTGATATTATTTTGTAACTGCAGGGGGAGGTGTGTGGGTGGGAGAGCTGAGTGGTCTCGGGACATGGCGTCTGACTCAAGTGCTGGAGGTCCCGAGTTCAGGCCCGGGTGAAGGCTGGAGTTTTTTCACTGGGACTTCTAGTAATTGTCCCTGGTCTCTGGGTAGTAAAATCGGGCGCCCCTGTGTATTGTTGCGCAAGTAAAATATCCCTTGGCAGTAGTAAATCGAAAAGAGTAGCCTAACGGTGCTGCCTGGGCAAAATCTGGAGTTAAAAATTTACCCAAATTATTTCAGAGTCCTCGCCGGTGCTAGGGAGTTCGTGCAATGCGCTGAGATTCTTCGTAATGAGGCTTGAATTAGAAGTAGAATGGTGCACTTACGGGTTACCACGCTTATGCCATGATGTTGATCTGTTGTATAACGGGCTCCCCTATAACCTTACGGTTGAAAAGGGTCTCTGGAATAAGTACCCGGCTGCCATGAAAAGAGGTCCCCGGAGTGTGCATCATTCCTTCACTACAAACACACTCTACTGTCGCCCCGGCACCTCGAAAACAGAAACAGAAGGAGAAAGATAACAAGCCACTTAGCCCCGTATCTAGTGAGTTAACACTTCCTGTTTAGCGCCAGTTACCGTGGTCTGATTCACTGACCCTACATCACTCCAAGCGCTGACTGATTAGATTTAAAAAAAAACTCTCAACATATCGTGTAGATCAGTGCTCTGTATGTCCACCTGTCAGAGTTTCCCTCCTCGATCAGCTGCCAGCCAAGACTAAGGGCCTGGTCTGCCCTGACATAACATGCAGTTGTCAGGTTGCATTTTGCTCTTCCAAAGAAAAGTCTTTTATCTTCGCCCAATGCGTTGATCTTTGATATTATATGAACATTTAGCAGCTTTGTGGTTGCCGTTATTTCTCATCTTCTCTCCATACTTCCACTTCATCGTTTTGCAACTGCAAGAGGTCCGCAATGTATATGTGACTGAGGCCCTGTTAGGGTATATTTTCGGCCTCGATAATTTGGGACCATTCGTCTGTCAAAATTAACGCTCCAGCTAGGTATATAAGATTATCTAGCCTCTTAGCAGCAGAAGCTGTCACATTAGCTGAAAAACGTAATTTTGTGACATCGGGTTTAACATCTGAACTGTCATCTACAGTTTGGTACCTCAATTTTAATTTACCACAAAGAAAATCTGGGAATTTCCGTGAAAGTCTAATATTATAGGGGTGTTAGGGCTTGGGGTTGGGGGATTAGGGTTAGTGTTATGGTTGGGGGTTAGGGGTAAGGTTATGGTTAAGGTTAGGGTTGGAGTTAGGGTTGGGGGTTAGGGGTATGGTTAGGTTAAGGTTAGGGTTGGAGTTAGGGTTGGGGGTTAGGGGTATGGTTAGGGTTAAGGTTAGGGTTGGAGTTAGGGTTGGGGGTTAGGGGTATGGTTAGGGTTAAGGTTAGGGTTGGAGTTAGGGTTGGGGGTTTAGGTTAGTCAGTGTATTTGAGGGGGTCGGGGCTAAAAAAAAATCAGTTTCAATTTCGTGCTAGGACACGCAGAGGTTCTCTTCCTATTGTCCCGCCAGATTATAGTTTTAGTGTTTATTTCAAATTATAACACCCCTAGAATACTAGACTTTTCCAAGAACTTTCGGATGATCTTTGTTTTGGAGTGAATTAAAATTGAAGTACCTGCATTTTTTCTGTTTGGTTAGCTGTCACTTAAGCCATGAAACAATTTTCCCGTCTTGGTAGGCCGCGAGCATACAACAGGTGGGGAAGAACTGCTCTATTCGACCGCTTTACTTAACCCATCTGTGGAGGTACGCGCGTGTGTTTACTAGCTCACTCACTGTCACGTGTACACATTTCATTGTTAGAGTCAGAACACGGTAAGTCACACACCTGCGCACGACAGGTGTGCCTCGCGCTAGAGGCTGGCTAGGTATGTAGCATTCAAGTAGAAGGAGTGTGAGATGTCGCTGCTACAGGAATTTAGCACAAACAATGAACGAACACTTCCTTGACAAATATTGCAAAGGGACGTAATTTATCTCGTAAATATTTGTCGTGATTGTCTGTCTTGAATCAGTATTGACCTTGTCACTTTGGTTCAAACAAGGGTAAAGGTTAAAGGTGAAGTGGGCGACGCAAACCATTTGAGGTCGCTAGCATTTATGTCCTACGGTATCCGACGTTGACCTAAATATCTGTAGTTGTCAATTCTCTAAATGATTGACTGATTCTTCTTCTTCTTCTTCTTCTTCTTCTTCTTCTTCTTCTTCTTCTTCTTCTTCTTCTTCTTCTTCTTCTTCTTCTTCTTCTTCTTCTTCTTCTTCATCGGCCCATTGGCTGGCCGCGAGACTTTAAAATAATTATAAAAATTTCGACCGAAATTAGGCCGCTTTACTGATCACGGGTATGGAATACCATCTGTGTCAAGTTTGATTGA